ATTTGATCACCTTGGCAATCCAGCAGCCAAGCCGCTCCTAGCCTTCCTCCCAAGGCTAGGGACAACAGCACAATTGTTCTTTCCACTTCTGCATCTCCAGGGTTAGGACATGTCACACTCATGTGAGTAGCCAGTGGGTCACAAGTAACAGTCAGGAACTGCAGCTTTGCACCCTCAGGGCTGTCAGCAAGAAGAGGGAGGCGCAAGCATATCCATCTGGGACCCTTGCACTACAGGTGACATCAAGCAGCCCGTCTTCCGCTACTGAATAATATACAATTCCCAGCCTGCTGCAAACCCTTGGTCTGGGCAATGTTACCTGGGAGGCCACCCTGGTCCTCCCTCCGCAGCACCAATCTGTAGCACTCCCTACTTTCCTCTGGCCTATAGAAATGCTGCAAGGTAATGGCCTGTTCTTAGAACTCAGCACCTGACAACTACAGCCCTGCACATCAAATGACAAAGGATATTTCACAATGCAGAACAAAGTCTTGTGCATAAACCAGGAAATCTGGAAAGAGACGGTGTGGTGAGGGGGCTTTTGTAACCTGGAGTGGTGCGCCAAACAAAACAAATGGCTAAGAAATAGTTATGAAATTGAGTTGTACACTGATGTCTTTCCATTTGATGCAACTCTCATCTTTTACAAACAGATTTGTAAAGATGTCCCTGGAGGATTCTGCCCCAGATGTGCAAAAAGAGAGCATCAATGTAATATCTTGATTGGCTGGGCTTTTAAAATGCAAACACAGAACGACTACGGCAAGGAATGTTTGACTAATCAAAACCTCATCATCAGAATCTAAAATTTTTAGAGGCAAAAATGCTTGGGGATTTCACTTGCACTCACTTAGTATAATTGGCCATTAAAGAGGTATATTTATTGTTATTTACTTTTTGTTTTATTCATAATCACAAGAAAAGCATCAAACGTATGTACATAAAAGTCTTGCTACTGCAATTCAATAGCTCTAAGGAAAGATTAAAATGAGTAACACAGCAGATGGGGGGGGGGTCACATTTTTAAACCTGCCTCATTGACTGCAGACATTAAAGGAGGACAGTAAGTCATCTGCAGCAGAGCTTGGACTTTGTGTAGGCACATTTCAATTAAAGATAAAATTCACCAGGCAATTCTCATTGATGTGAATGTGCCCTAGAAGTTCTCAAATGGACTGCACAGACATGGTTCTCACTTGTGACTTCCAAACAAAACCATTTTCTAAATGACTATTAAAACAATGTGCAGTCTTTTGCAAGGCAGCCTGACTTGTAAAAAGCTATGCTCAGCTTTCTGGAAGTGAATGCTGCTTGTTATTTCAAATTGGGGCGGGGGGGGGGGGGAGATGATGAGAATGAAAAACCCTGGCTAGTATCACCCTGGCACAAAAAACAAAAATATTCAATTGAGATGAACTCCCGTAAAATCTAAATACACAATTCCTTGAATGGGGCCAGAAACAAAAAGCTTTTTCTCCTAGATAGAAACAATGCTCTTTAGTACCAAATAAGATGTGGCTATATTTTTCTTTTTCTTTCTTTCATTCCCCTTTTTTCTTTTTCCCCCCATTGGCTTACTAGAGTAACCCAATAAACACAACCAGTTCCTTCCAAAATCAAAAACCAGACATTAGGTGAAAAATGCAAAGATGTTCTACATTTAACAAATATCTCTTGTGCATTAAATATTTTCCTGCCCTCTAAAACAATCTGTATATCAGCCAGTGTACTAAACACTGTACAGAAATATGGCAGAGTTTACAAGGCTTGCAACCAAAGGTAAGGCATATGGGATCAAGGCAAAATGGAGAGAACAGAGAGCCATACTGGGATAGTAGAGCTGAAAGCAAAGAATGTCAAATAGTCAGAGAACATGGGGAAATGCAGTGGGGATGGGAGGCATTTTATCTACACTTCTGGTATTTTAGCTTCAGGCTCAATGCCGAGTTTTAGCTCAGTAAGGCAACTTGAACTGCGTTTCTACTGACCTCTTACTCTGATCCACCAGGACCCCACTATCTGACTAGTACCCAAGACACTGTATTGTAGCCAAGCAAAAATTGTTCTGCACTCTGACCAGGTATTCTTAAGCCAGATCACAAGCTGGCAACCCCATTTGTGGTAGTGGGTAGGAGGTCTGAGAACAGATTGAGATGAAGGCAATTATATGCTGAGATTACAGCACAGCTACTAACCAGCATGGCCAATTGTAACAAATGCTGAGCTTTGCAATCCAAAATATCTGACGCGTGCCACACCAGAGAAGTCTCCTGTTTGCTTTTCTTTCCTTAACTTCTCTGTGACACAAAAATATACTGCATCTTTGCAGTGCTGAGTCCCTTGTGCGTCTCAAGCGGTAAAAATGCCGATTAAATCCATTTCAATTCCGGGCTGTATTGCAACAAAATACAGAAAAGTCAATGGTGGGATGAAATACTTCTGTACTGCACTGTAACACAGCAGAAAACAAGCATGGAAAAGGCAAACAAAAAGCCAGACAATAAAAGAGGGTGCTTTCCCCAACATATAGTTTATCAACTACATAACAAAGAAGGATTGGTTCTCATATTGTCCTCATAGTCCCCACTTTTCGTGGGGCTGCCCTTGAAGACGGTCCTGATAATTCAACTGGTTCAGAAAGAGCAGCCAGGATGTTAACAGGGACCAGCCGATATGCACATGTAACACCTGTCCCTTACCATCTACACAGGTTACCAAATGAAGTCCATATTTCAATTGCATATCTGCCCTCCTGCCCCTTGAGATCAGCAGCAGAGGCCCTCCTCCGGGAGCCCTCTGGGAGAGACATCAGGAGGCAATGGACCCGGAAGATGGCTTTCTCTGCAGTGGCGCCCCATCTGTGAAATGCGCTCCCCAGAGAGGTTCGCCTGGCGCCGTCGTTACGTTTTTTGGCGCCAGGCTAAGACCTTTTTATTTAAAAAATATTTTAATAATGTTAGATAATATTTATAGGTTTTAATTGTACAGCCAGGGTGTTTCTGGGGTTTTAACTGTATTTGCATTATCTTTATTTATGTGAGCTGTCCCGAGGCTATAAGCGATGGGACGGGATACAAAAATTCTAAATAAGTAAGTAAGTCCAGGTCCAATTTAAGGTGCTGGTGATGACCTATAAAGCCCTAAACAGCTTGGGTCCTGGATATGTGAAGGAGCATCTCCCTCCCTATGTGCCTGCCAGCCCCATAAGATCCGGGTTGGAGGTCCTTCTTTGGGAGCCTTCCTTGAAGGAGATTAGGAGGGTGGTTATGTGGAGAAGGGCCTTCTCTGTGGTGGTGCCCCAGTTATGGAATGCGCTCCCCAGAGAGGTTCGTCTGGTGCCAACACTGTATTCTTTTTGGTGCTATGCCAAACCCTTTTTATTTTCCCAGTATTTTAAGGTTTAGGTTGTGGTTTTATTGTACAGAATTGATGCTGTGATTTACTTTGTTTTATTTTAAGGCCATCCAGAGACTATTTGGTAGTGAACAGTATAGACGAGTTTTAAATAAATAGTGAATATACAGGTCTATTCCAGCCCTTACTATGTATCCTTCAGAAGGGGAAGCCACGTCTGGTCCAGCAGTGGCTGAAGGACCCACATCTAGTCTTCACCAGCAATCTTGTGCCAGCAAAATGTGGAGCTCCGCATCTGCCACATACCTTTAGCTTCACCAGCAGCTGCTCACTTATTCACATGACAACTGCTTCTTAAATTAAGGAGTTCATTCAAAAATTAGTCTCAGGTTTTCTTGGACGTGAGATGGGGAAGTGATATAGCACAGTTGTTAGGGACCTTTCGGTCAATTTGAAGGGGAAGTCAGAAATCATACCTGACATGGCAAGGTCTTCACTGCCATCATATTCTCTAGTGAAAGGAGAAAGGGCGATTCCTGTTAGGGCCAAAGGGCAGACTGCAGCTGTTAGCAGGTATAAGTCAGCTGAACTGGGCAGGCAGTCCTAATTTTGCTGTACAGTTCCCAGCATACATATCCGATAGCAAACCCTTGTTCACTTGTACTCAAGTCAGCAAGTCTATATACTCAAGGAAATTCACTGAAATGTTTCCAAAGGACAAAACCAAAAATGCTTCTCTGTAAGATCTTACTACAATAAGCACTGAGAAGTCGTACTTCTAAAGAAAAGGAAACGCACTCACATTTAATAGAAGTTATAAGCATGTATGCAACATGGGTGCTCACTGCACACCTTTGGTCACAGTTTCTAACACATGGGGGCATATTTTTTGCTTTTTTGAAAGTGAGCATGGACAACACTGGAAGAGTGCAATTAGGAAGGTCTGGCACTGGAACAATGGAAGCCACTGACAACAGACCCTTTCGAGAATCCTACTCAGATGGGTAGAATCTTAGAATAGTAGGGTTGGAAGGGGCCATGACGGCCATCAAGTCCAACCCCCTGCTGTTGCAGGACACCATCCCACCCAGATGGATAGAATCCTGTATGGATGGGGGAGTAGTGGAAGACAAATGGGCCACTGCAGGAGGCAGGAGATAAGGACTGGAAGCAGACAAATAGCTACTCCTCCCCTCCAACTGCCATACCCCCATCCCTCACATTTCTACTTCCCCAGTGTTTGGAGTTTCAACCTTACATAAAGTAGGCAGTAAAAAGTTTTCCACAGCAGTTGGGTGGTGGGAATCCTGGCTTGGATCTTCCCCACCATGACCATTAAGGTCATAGCTGTATCTACAAGCACTGGGGCAGGAAAGCTACAGCACCACACACTTCTGACATTGCTCCGAGAGAACACAGGATTGCTCTGTTAACACAGTGGCTGGATCTGACGAGCCAAAAGCACAGCATTAATTAATTCAACTTATATTCCACTATACTAGTCTGAAGACTCTCCAAGTGGATTACAATGTTAAATAAAATAGTAATATTTCATAAATAATAGTAAAAACAACCTACAATAAAACAGAGAAATACGCAGCAATAGCCCTGAGAAAGCAGTTAAGGTGCTGAACCAGCAAACTCACCCAGTAAATTCACTCATATGGCTAAGTGAATTGGCTGATGGTTACCAGAGAACAGGCAAACCTGGCTTTTGTTCAGCAAGCATTTCTGTCTTCTCAAGAGAATGGAGGCACAGCTTTAAAATACTCAATAACAAACTGTCGAATATTAGGTGATGGGTCATAGCTCGATGCTGGAGAGCACGTTTTGCCTGCATATTTAGGCCACAGCATCTTCAATTGCAACTATCCAAGGCTTCAGCTCCGGGAAAGATCTCAGAAAGCCTCTGCCAATCAAGACAGAATAGCACTGGCCTCCACGGAACAATAATCTCACTCACTATAAAGCGGCTTCCTATGTTGGAAAAATGCGAGCAAAAGTCAGCCTTCCAAAGCATTAGGTAATTCGCAAGGACTTTAAAAGTAACAGTGAAACTGCTCACATGTGACTGATACCAGACCGTGTTGTTCCATCCAGCCCAGTCAAAATTAAAATGGTGTACCAAGATAACAGCTCTGTTCAAAATAAGAAGCCAGGCACTTCTCATACGCTCTGAATGAATGAATGAATGAATGAATGAATGAATGAATGAAGCATTAACTTTATGTACCACCTGAACTTTTTTGTAACTATCATGGGTTGGATCCTGTCTGGCTCATGCTTAGAGCAGACCCACGGAAATCAATAATTAGCTTGGTCATGATTACCTTAAGTTTCACTGGTCTCAAAATATTAAGTCTGGATCCAACCTAATAAACTTTGGTAGTTTATTATAACAGGCTATTTTACAGAATGTGAAGGACCAGGACAGCAGAAGGGAATAAAGGCAAACAGAAAACTGGGCATCAAAATAAATGCATGCCAGCAAAAAAGCAGGACCTGGGGTTCTTGGGAGAGTCAGCTGAGACTGATGTGGGAATGTCACATCTTGATCAACCAAAGCCTAAAATCAAGTTTAATGTAATAATGGGAAATGATAGGTTACATTTGATGTCTCCACCATATTGGGTTGGAACTAAAGATGCCATCCTCAAGCTGTTCTTGAGTTTTACCTTCATTTTTCTAACTCATTCTATTTGCTTGTTCTTCAAGCAGTTTGTTATACTGGCCTACAAATAGCAAATTAGACCCTGCCGTATTTAAAAGTGAAGCTTAAAAAAAACCCAGCAGATTGTATTTGTCCCTAGCAGCTCTGCAACAGTGAGAGGAAAGAGAATTTAAGCACTCACTGAAGCTCCCCAAAGGTTCTTTATTCCCAATCAAAAAAGAAACAAAAGTGATTCTAACATAAAGAGAAATGTCAATTTAGCATTCCTTATATTTTCCCTGCCAATAACCTTGCCCAGAGCAAAACGGAAAGTCTCCACAGAGAAAAACCAAATTCATGTTTTTACGCCTGCAAGTTCATGCACTAGCACAGCTGCAAAAGAAGCACTTTCCCCACCCACCTATCCACCCACAAAAATGAATAGCCATGCAAAAGCCAATCCATGCTAGTCCCTTTAACACATAATGAATCCAGAAAGAAAATCAGAAATCCATTTGAAATCTAAACTGCCTTGGCAAACAGAGCCTATTTTAGTTTCCTTTGACTTAGCAAGGAAGTTTAAGGCAAAAAAGGCAGAATTATATGTACAAGCGCCTATGCCCAAAGGCTTGTTCCCCCAAAAGGACAGAAAGAGACAACACTTGTAGTGTTACTGATTATTTGGGAACTGTGAAGGTCTCAGAAATACTAGAACAATGCACTAACAGACACCAGACCCATAAATCACTGAATCAGTAATTCATCAGGGAACTTTGCTCTGGTATTAATTTGTACCCCCTTCACTCTTCAACTTCCCTGTTCTCTCCATATCGACACTCCAAGATCTGGCAGATGCAACCACATGCCATCATATATCATCTCTTTTGTACAAGCTACATCCCTGAGAGCAAAGGCAGAGCACATTAAATAGTCACTTATTCAAATGCATATCACACAGATTCAATGACAAGCTAGAGCAGTAAAGGGTCAATAATCCTTTTTTAAAAGAAGCAGTCATACTTTACTTCGCTCCTACTTCCTATATGGATGAAACTTTACTTGGGTAAGGTCTCCAGCTGCTGGAATAATTATTGTGTGACCAATACTACAACCAAGGAGACAAACACTGTTCCTACTGCTTATGCACAGCTGAAATTTATGTTATAAGCAGTTCCTTTTGCATGGCATGTTCCAAATATATAAGATATACATGTGTGTGTAATTGAAATAAAATTGTAAGGGCACTTCATAACCTGCCAAGAAACAAAACCATTTTCGCTGCTCATTTTGGTCCAACGTGTTATTCTGTATTTTTACTGTCAGCAAATATGCATAGATGGTGAATTCCATGGCCATTTCCAACAGCCAAAATAGTGAAAAGCTCTCCAGAAAGAGCACCTACCACTGCAATTACTTGAACCTAGCAGTTTTTAAGAAACACACTTTAACAGATGTGGCAGCATAAAAGTTTTAGATCACAGTTACTAGGCTCCCAAGGCAAAGCATGTAGGCAATTTCATTTTATTTAAGCAAAATACAAACATCAAAATAACTTCCCAGGTGTGGTAAGAACTGCTCCTGGGAATGCCCCACAGCTACAACCCAGTCACAATGTAGAATGACACAACCGCATCACACAACTCCGGCACCACACTTATCAACTATTAGAGTTAAACCTCAATATGTGGGTGTTTTAACCTAACAAGATAACCTACATATTTCCAACTACTATTCTGATTCTTCTTCATAATTATAGATCTATATAAATCTTATTCACTCCTTACTGGCATATTCTGGCCCAGTTCTCTAAATGAAAGATTGGCTAAGATATACATAATTTTGTTAATGATGTTATAATGGTTTCTGTTCATCATTGTTTTATTCTGCACCATTTAAGCTTTTTATTTGATATTTGTACCGCCTGTTTTAATATATTGTATGCTACCCAGAGAGTTAGGTTACTGGATCATTTAAAAGTACAGTCAGTAAATAAAGATTTTAAGATCTGGAATTCAACTGAGTCAATCCTAAGCAAACACAGAAGTAGTAGCAGCAGTGATGGGTTTTCGAAAGTAGGAAGTAACTCCAACAGCCACCCCTGTTTTGTTTTGTTTTTCATTAATAATGTTAAGACTGTATACTGCTGTATAAGAATGTCTAAGGCATTTTTTTAAAATCTTGACTGGTTGACAGTACACTCAGGTTTTAACACCACATTTATAATTTCACTGACAACAGTGGAGCTTTAAACACCACAATCTTATATGGCTACTCAGAAGTAAGCCCTACTGAATTCAGTAGGGCTAACTTCCAGGTAAGTGAGCTGAGGATTGCACCCTCAATCTTTTTGCATTCAGTCCAACATATCGAAAAAGCTCTTGGACAATTCTGCACAATTGTCCTTGATCAAAAACGTTCCCACATACCAGGTTAAAGAAAATAAATTGCCTTGCCTAGCAAATAAATCACTTTGAAAAACAATTCCCTGTAAAGAGTTCATCCACCATGCACAGAAAATCTAGCACACCATCAACGTGCCATAAAAAGAGGGTTAAACAAGTTTTATTATCAGTGGAGTTATATGGGATACCGTTTTCTGATATGGAATTGGCAATGAAAGATGTGATCTAGCAGCATTAGTGCTTTGCTGAAAGTGTGAAAGAAGGGCAGTGGCATGCATCATTACTCTATGAATGCTTTCCTACCAACCCAACATGCAAAAATTACTCCAGGGTTGTGACATCCTGGCTCAGTTTTGGTGATTTCAATGCAGCTTTACAGATAGCGACACCACAATGGTATTGAAATCATTGCACCTAATATTAAAACCCTATTTGCTGCTGCTGCAGCCAATGGGATCAGGCTGCAAAAGGATATTAAGGATCAGAGGATTTTTAAGGCAGTCCTTAGTCCCATTAGCAGAATTTCTAAAGCAGTTCTTATTAGCAAAGGACTTGGTAGTGCAGCCCACTGTTATACTCTCCAAAAGAGCTAACAGTGAGAAATAGCCCTTAAATATAATGCCAAAAATTTGCCAGTGACTTGAACTTGAATATATGACCAAGCAATTGCTTGCCTCAGCCATCACTGATAAATCCAGTAAAAGGGAGTCATAAGTTCTTCCTCCAAGGGGATAGTAAGTTTAAGACTATAAGCTATTTTCTCTTAAAGGGATACAGGGATTGTAGGAGTGAATACTCATCCTTTTGCATAGTATCCTTTCAAACAATGGCATAAAGCGAAGGAAATGTATTATTACATTCTGTAATCCATCTTACAACTCCAACCAGGAAATCTTCAGTAGTTCCGATTGAAGAATGAAAGCCTCACAGCACTCTGGCCGCTTGAGAAACAAAGATGAATTTCCTCCAGTCTACTTTGCACACATCAAGCCATGAGATGCTGCACCTAAAGCATATCAATCCATATCCGACAAAAAGGTTAAATTAATAAAAATGATAATTTAAAATATCTTGTCATATTCCAATAAATGCTTTTGTTATTGTTCTCTTTTAAGCAAAATAAAAAAATCCTCTCTTCCCATCCATTTTATTTTCCTTTTCTTGTTTCACATCACTTATTACCCCACATGTACACATACTTGCAGAATTCTTTAACTGAGTAAGGAGGCCAGGCAAGGCGAGGCTCACACCTCTGCTCCGATTCAGTCTGAGCCACTGTGGCTTTTGGCAAGAGGTAAAACCAAGTCAACCGTGGATTATTTCAGGGCACAGACACACACACACCCCCGACAGAAACATTTCCAGAACTGTACTTCAGAAAGGTACCAAATGAACACTTCACAGGTCTGAACATACTTGCATGAAAGATGGAAACACATTTTTCTGTTAATGTGCCAAAGATGCACTTACTGTTAACTGGGACAGTTAGGATGCTACAAGATACTAGACTCTCAAAGGTCAATTATTTCAACTGTCATCAACTTTTCTTGACCAACTAGGCATGCAGGCCACCTAACCATCTGCGGCCATTTTTAATCTCCAACAGATATTCAAATATTACTTATAAAATGTCTTTGAATAAAATCCTTTGCACCCTTACCTGAGAGAAAACCCCATTAAACTCACTGAAACTTAACTTCCAAGGAAACATATACAGATTGTGTTGGTAAATGCCTAACACTTCAGCAAATATCCATAAACTATTTGGAAAAACAAATCCACATAATATTTCCAGTCAAACCCTGGTCACATGGGGAGAGAACATGTTGCCAAAAAATCTGGCCATATGAGAAGAAAACAGCAAGCAATTGCTGTTTAGGCCAGACTGGATCACAATGAACCAATGCCAAGGAAACACACATGACTTGATTGAGGCAATCTGACTTGATTCCCTCAGTTTACTACTCCTGCATGGGAGTTATTACTCCGTTATACTAATATCTTGTCAACCAATGCAATGAAAGGCCTTATTTAAGACTGCCAACAGAGAAAGCTGCCCAATGTCCAGGCTTTTCCAAATCTGTGCATTAAATTTTATTACAAACAATATTTTGCTGTGCTACAAAACTTGAAAACAATTCAGATCTGAGAGACCACAATTTGTCTCTGCAACTGAATGACTAGATTGTCAAGGTTATGGAATAAACAGGATTGTACTTAAGAAACAAGGGAAAGGAGAACCTAGACACTGCAGGCTGCCACATGCCCATAACTTTCATACTAAACACAGATAGATACAAGGTCTGTAAAGCAAAAGGAGGAAGCAGATTCCCTTGATGAAGAGTATACCATGCACTCGATAACACAAGGAATATTTGTTGCCTGCGAACACATTACATTAACTATAAAAAAATTAAACCAGAGTTCTCGCTTGTTGGGGGGTGGAATTTGGAGACAGGAAATGAGGATAGAGGCCTTCCACCCTGGAGTATGAGATAAGAAACCCTTCAGCCCCACTAGGTTACCACCAAAAGCAATCTCCAATCTTCCACGTAGAAGTACTACCCTCTGAAAGCCTCTTACACAGTGCATCCATCAAACCATACATGACATGTGCTCCCAAAACTGAACAGAACTGGCACGTAGAGGGATGAACAGAATGGGCCAGAGTTCACACCAAGAAAAGAGTGATTCATTCTCGAGATGGAGGATGAAAAGGGTATTCCAGTCCTAGTCCTTTAAAGACATACACTGAAAACTGTGTCCCCCAATGTAAGGGCATAAATGACCACTTTCCCACCTCACACTCTGAAGATATGAATTATGCTGCTGTTAAGGGAATACATCTGTCTGCATGTACATGTGCGCATCTGTGTACGAACAAATATACATGTGCATACCAACAGAGATTACAGTTTTTGCTTTGGAAGCTTTTGTAGGGTCCGTCTTGTTTTATTTTCATTTGACAGACAGTCAGGAAAAAGAGCATGAGTTACAGTCCTCATATTTCCATCAAAGCCTGTATCTTTCCCCTGGGATTGCCCTGTCTCTGCTCCTCCATGGAATGGGGCCAGCGGGGAGAAGATGCCTCTGAGATCTCTCCTCTCACACACAAACGCTTGATGGAGAAACTGGATGGGAGACCTCCCTCCCTGAGGGATCCAACTGCTCCAACAGCCAGCCACTTGCCCAGAGACTGAGGGGACAGAATGTGTGTGTGCGGGAGTGGGGGGGGGGTATGTTATTTGGATTCTTTAATAGCTGTGCACATGGGAAGCAGGGCGGCTTATTTTATATTGGTATTTTTGTATTTTTAACCTAATGTTTATATTTTTTTAAATTTAATATTATAATTATTTTTAACTTATTGTTGTAAGCCGCCCCGAGGCTTTGGCGAATGGGGCAGCATAAAAATGTTTTCATAAATAAATAAATAAATAAATAAATAAAAGCAGGATGGGGATATTTTTTCCAGTTCTATGAAGCTGGACAGGAGTAACCAATATGCCATAGACCTGACCCCCAGGAAAGCTGTGGGCCTTGCCACCTAAGAATTGCCTTAGAAAGTCTCTAGGCATAGCCCCATTCCAGGGCACTGCTCAACGCTGATGCTCTGTCAGGAAACATGGGGAAAAACATACTAGTAACCCATGGAAACCCACCAGTTATCAAAGAAAAAAAGATGGCCTTGCTTTTTGTGCAAGGGTGAAATGAACCAAAAACAAGGGAAAGGCCTCTAACTGGTCTCTATGGAAGCTGCTACTATAGCAAGGAAATCACTGAGTTATATATATAAACATATATAACGTGTTTCAGATCAGGGTCCTCCGAAGGCTACTCCATATGGTTAAGGAGGTACTGGGGTGCCTAAGTCGGGGTAGGGGGGTGGGAGCTGTGCGACTGTTAATCTGTAGCCTTTCAATGGAACCCCCACAAATCTGCCACCTGAGGCAGTCCTTCTCTTGGACTGGCCCAAGGCATCCTCTGCACATGCCCAGAGGCACTCTGCCTTGTTATCCTTGACAAATCCCGAGGCGGCTATCCAGTTTTTATAGGAAAAAAGGCAACTCAAGGGCCCCAGTGCCTAATGAAGAAGCCCTTTCCACCTTCCTGGCCGGGAAGAGGCTTTCCCTTCAATGCTTCGACCCGCCTTTCCCCACAAAACCACACCAAGCCAAACCAATGCAGAGGGACAAAACAGCCCCCTCCCGACGCCCCCCTTACCGTCGATGTTCTCCCTGTCGCTGATGTGCTGCAGGTTGCAACCCGTGTCCTCTCGGCTCAGCTCGGTGTCGGGGCGATAGGACTCCAGCCGCGAGTGGGCATTCCTCCGCAGCTTGGGGCTGGACGACACGCAGCAGGAGGTGGTGTTCCCCATCTTCGCGGCCCACGGGGCCGGCCAGCCGAGGAATGCGGGGAACGGGGGGAGAGAGACGGGTAGGAGGAGAAGGGGAAGGTGGCGGCAGTCACCAGCGGCGGCGCGAAGCCATCAGCAGCAGCAGCGGCAGCGAGGAAAGCGACGACGACCGCGGGGCGACGGGAAGATGACGGCGGCAGCGGCGGCTCCCGCCCGCCGCGCTCCTGGGCTGCTTCTCCGCGCACTGGCTCATGCAAGCCGCCGTGCCCCGCCAAGCGGCTCCATCACCCTGCCCGGGTGAGTGGCATGCGCTGCTGCAAAGCCGGGCTACGCCGGCTACTGCAGCCCCAGCCCCATGGCCCGCCGCTGTCGCCCTCCACCGCCGGCTGGCTGGCTGGCTGGGGCCGGCTTCGCTGCCCTCCTCCGATCCTCCTCCTCCTCCTCTAGCCTGCACGAAGAAAAAGGAGGGGGGAGAGCAGCAGCGGCGACGGCAGCAACACCGCAGCAGCCTCTTCCCAGCAAGCGGCGGCAGCCCCCGAGGCTGCCTTTTGCAAAAACGGTTCCGGTTCAAGTGGGTGGGAACGTCGGTGCCTCTCCGGCTACCAAACAAACGAGGCGAGGAGCGCCGTTTCTCTTGGCGCGCTGCTGCTCACGTCGGGGGAAGCCCGGCCGGACAGAGGCGCTCTCCGGCTGCGCGGGAGGGAAGGCGGGACTGCAGCGAGCGAGGAGGAGGGGAGCCCCAGCCGGGAGTGCCAAGGCGAGAAAGGGGAAGAGCCGCCGCCGCCGCCACCCCTTCCTTCCGTCTGCTGCCCTGGAAGGAAACGAGCACGACCGGTCGGTCGGTCGGTCGGTCGGTCAGCCGCCCGGGTGGAGCAGAACAGGAGGCATCGGCGCCCGGGCAGCCTCCGGTCGTGTGACGACGGTCACGGGCCGGTGTGCGGCCCGCCTGCCGCTTCGGAAGGCGGCTTCCTTTCGCCTCCTCCGGCTCGCCCCCGATCTTAATATTTGAAAATGCGAGGCGGCGGGGCTGCCGCTGGCCTGGTTGGAATCCGCGGTCTGCAGATGGCTGGGAAGCCTGGCCCCCGACGTGGTAGCAAAGCGCGTGTCGGCCGGCGTCCAGAGAAGGCCCATCGCCCATGCTCCATCCCCAGCATCTCGCAGTCGGACATACCAAACAGGACCCTGCCGGAGAGGGATCGAAAAGCTGGACGCTGAGCTGCGTGCACACGTGCTAGCCGAACCCAGTCCTAAAGAAGAGGAGCACCGCATATACTCTGGAAGTAGCGCTGTTATGAGCAGCTTGACCGGGCTGAACTCCCAGCAAGGGAACCAGATTGTATCGAGTCCTGCAACCTAGGAAGCTCCCTTGTACTGAGTGAGACCACAGGGCCCACCAGCCTGGCATTGCCAGTAATGGCTGGGAGCCTCTCTCCAGCTCTTTAGGCTGTTCGGGTTGGACCTGTATGTCCTTCCCC